TTAACAGACTAGATCAGGTTTGCCAGTTTATGTAATTTTTACAAAAAGAATTCTACTGCATATCCTCTGGTGAAGGGCTCGTTTTGTTCACCAGTATGCTGATGAGATCCATCAATGTCACTGACTTTCAGCCAATATTTAACAAATCTCTGAATAAGTTAAGGCCCTTGCTGCTGCCGATAAGACCATCCCTGCCTGTTTGATGTTTCGCTCAGTCTCAGCCGCACAACCCTGGCCTTTCTCTAAATGGCATGGTAAATGCCTGAAAGAGTTCCCAGATAGCCAAAATTCACCACCAGATGCAGCTCATGATGAAAACCAGCAGCCTGGTGTTGAGAGGGCTTATGTGGGCATGAGCAGAGGGGAAGGAGGAGCAGCAGCCTTCCTTTCTGATCAGCATCTTTACAGCCACGGCTCAGTAAGACAAGCTTTTGGAGCCCTCATTCACTCTGCCAGGAACTCAAATCTCAAATTCCCTGTACATGAGAAATCATGACAAAGCACTGATCTGCATTCCCTTTGCAAATGTTACTTTGAAAGTGGAGTCAAAACTACTTCCAAGTAAAGAGCAGAGCAGCTTTAACTAATATCGGCAAAGGGCCTAAGAAAAGAGATGGAGTTAATGTATTCCATCTGTTTGTTTTCTCTCTTGTGCCCTAAGACTCAGGACAAAATACCAGTTTGGCAAAGAAATTGTATATACAGGGCAGGAACAAGGTACCGACAGGGCAAGGCTGGACACACTGTCCAACCTGAGTTGGCCACGTATGAACTTGAAATCCCCAACTGGCAAATCTGTCCCCAACCTCCCCCCACCCCTAGCCTGGCAATGACAGCAGTATCTATTTCCAGATATGAGTTGTTATTCGTCAGGACCAATCAGCACTTTCATGTAGGGCCAATCATCACTGCCCTGATTGGTTCAGGAGGCAACATGCAGGACTGCATTCTTGTGGTTTGCCCTTCCAGAAAGGCCTTTCCCAAGCACCACATGCTGCCCGCGCTGGGTCCAGCAGAAGAAGGGGAGGCAAAGCTGTGCCCTGTGGCAGACTCTGTTTTACCAGAAAAAATACTGTGCTTGTTGCCTGGGTTGAATGCATTCCTTCTCCCCACATAGGCCTTCTCTTGCAAGGCTTTGTTGCACAGTCTCCGAAAGACCTCTTCTCTATTTACCCGCCAGCTTGTAACAAATAATTTTAGTGGCTGCTGGGTATCCTTCCAAAATGGTCATGACCTCATTCAGTTATTTTAGCAGCAGAAAAAATTCACAGAAAACCCAAGACAATCCAAAAATCATCTCCTAGCTTTCAATTAGGATGTGAAAAGAGAGAAAAGGAAGGAAGGATAAGCATAAGAAGAGAAAAGAGCTTGTGGGAGAAGTTGAAAATAAATCTTTTCCAAGTTCAGAAAGAATATCCCATTTAAGTGCTTTATAAAGGTTTTCTTTGATGAGTAGTAAAGTATTGCACAAGGTGTATAACTTTCTAGTGGCTTTTCAACCAGGCTTCTTTTGATAGGTGTCTGATACCCACTGCAGACAAGGGGAAAGGATACAGGGGGAGACCAGGTACTCCTACCGCTAATCAGGGATGGAGAAGGTCTGCCAAGGCCATTGCCATCTCTCAGTTTGTATCACCAGGAGCCTGTGGAGGCCACTCCTGGATAAATACAACCCTGTCTAGATCTATTCTATGAAATTATATCACAGTCCTTTCTGGAAACTTCTTAAAAAAGAGAATGGAAATTAGAAATGCCCACAGGGAAGGTTTTCATAGCGGTCCACAAGCTCAACTAGCTGGAATCTGAAGAAGGCAAAAAAAAAAAAAAAAAAGAAAATGGAATCTTCATCCGAATGATTGAACAGAAGATAAGCAAACATAAGGTGACAGAACAAACAGGCAGGAAATATGACCTACCAGTCCTGGGAAGGGATATAGTTCTTGTATTACTCTCAAAATGTAAGGAGGTTCTAATTAACTCTGTAGCTTTGAACCCAAGTCTGAGCAAAAGCTTCAGTCTTGATTCTTGGAAGAGCTGTATGAAGTGCAAGGGCCAAGGGCTTTTCAAGCTGATAGGATCTGAGAATGTCTCATGTGAACAGAAGTTCCCAGAACCGACAGTAGCTGGCAGCAGATAACCTCTCCAAGCTGGAAGATAGCCGAATCCTTGACTGTTAGTGCCAGAAGGTATCTTAGAGATGGCCCAAGCCCCAGTCCTCTGCTTTAGAGATGAGGAAACCTAGGCCCAGAAAGGGTAAAAGCTTGTCCCAGGTCACAGAGCTGGGTAATGGCACAGCTGTGACCAGCATCAAGGTGATCTAGCTTTCTTTGCCACACCTCAGCCAATGTGTAACTCAAGATCAAAATAGTCAGGGGCTCAGTGGGTAAAGAATCCTCCTGCAATGCAGGAACTGCAGGAGACTTGGGTTTGATCCCTGGGTTGGGAATATCCTCTGGTGGAGGAAATGGCAACCCACTCCTGTATTCTTGCCAGGAAAATCACATGCACAGAGGAACCTGGTGGGCTACAGTCCAAAGGGTCACAAAGAGTTGGACATGATGAACACACACACACACACACACACACACACACAAGGAGATTTATATAATGTAATCACTAAATATACACCTTGAGCATTTTATTATGTAGATTGAATGAATGAACATTTGTCCTTTAATTTTTCCAGGAAAAAATAATTCCTTTGAATTATACACAAGGTTATATGACTTGAAGTTTAAAAACAAAATTGGTTAGGTCCCCCTCCTCTTTTTCACTGTTTATTAGTTTTTTAAAAGTGACTAGTTTTTAAAAAGTAATGAAGGTGTTGAAAGAGCAGACATAAAGTCCATTCAATCACCCCTGGCAGGATGAGGAACATTTGTCCAATGGTGGAGTTCCTGAATTGGGACTAGGAAGAAGGGCTTGCCTATGAAAGGCATGGGGAAGCCGGTATATTTTAGATGCTTATTTTGGGGGGCCCCTCAAGGGACTGAGTAATTAGAATGCCAAGTTGAGAGAGGATATAGTTTTTTCTCATTGTTTTCTAATGTAAGTTAGCTAAAACAGCTACAATACTGGGAGACCTCTTGTATTATATTCAAGGTAGAAGAATGACAGTCATAGTCATTTGTCTAGTAGGACCTCAGAAATCACCTAATCCAGAACCTTCATTTTCCAGATCAGAAAACAGAACCCCAGAGAGATCCAGTAACTTGATCAAGGTTAGCACAAGCTCTCTGAGTGTTTTGCCAACCTCTACTGTGTATACTGGGCAGTGGGGGGGAAGGCGTGAGGGTGGGAAGGCAGCATTCCAGCAAGTCTGTGAATCTTTCAAATTGCAAGCCATACAAAATGTGTATGCAGAGTACTCCCCTGGCAGATTTCAATCTATGTGAGTTAACTTGAAGATTTAAATGAAGATTTTAAATATTTTCATTATAATCATTCCCCAGCCCTCCAAAGGGTTTAGGTGTGGATGCTTTGGAGACAGATTTTTCTGTTCTCTTAGAGGTGCTGAAGTCTGTGAAGCTCTAGACCACTGCTGATAAAACAGAATGGGTGGACTGATAGGAGTCAGATGCTGGGAGGCCACTCCTGGTAAGTGTCACCAACTTGCCTCAACTAGGCACCCTAGTTGTTTGTAGCAGGTCACCTTTGGCAGCTGAAGTCTATACTTTTCAGTGATGGTCCCATCCGATGACAACTGTCCGCAAAACCAAAGCTGGCCAGCACTGAACCTCCTTGGCGCTCCCTAAATGCTCCAAACCTCAAAACCCCAAAGACAGTCTGATGAATGAGCCCACACCCTTTGAGCTTAATGGGACTGCTCTCACCACTCCACAAGGATGGCTTTGAAAAGTAGCAGTAATGGTAGTCGCTCAGTTGTGTCTGACTCTTTGTGACTGCATGGACAGTGGCCACAAGGCTTCTCTGCCCATGGGATTCTCCAGGCAAGAAAACTGGAGTGGGTTGCCATGCCCTCCCCCAGGGGATCTTCCTGACCCAGGGACTGAACCTGAGTCTCCTGCATTGCAGGCAGATTCTTTACTATTTGAGCCACCAAGGAGGACTACTATTTATTTATTGAACAGTTATTGTGTACATTGCTCAAGACCTGTTATGTTATTTCCTCTCAATATCAGCAAGGTAGGGGTAATGGCTCCCTGATAACAGAGATGAGGAAAGAAGAGGCCGGCCAAGGCTTAGTAACTCACCCACTTCACTCACACAGCTTGCAAGCGGCAGAGCTGGTCAAATCATTGACTCTTGGACTCTAAAACTTTTGCTTCCTGGGTCAGAGTCCCTGCTGGTAAAGCAGCACCCATACACTCCAGTTCCAGATTTCAAGTTATTGTCAGAAGCCTTCTTAATTCTAATGTGTTTGGAATCCTGTCTTCTGAAACTTCATGTTTGTCAAGCATACATATGACTTCCTTCGATTTCTCTGCAAATTTTTACCAAATAAAACCATATGCACTTCCATAGCAACATTACAACACAAACATGGTGTAATCTTTGTCCACTGCAGTACACAGCTTGAAAAGTGTTTTTTTTTTAATAAAAGAAAAAACCCTACATCTGTATACAGTTGAACTGAACCCCATGGCAACAAATACAAACATAAACGAGAGCTCTTCTCTTTAAGTATTTTCCTCTTTTCTTTGCAGGCAAGAGTCTGAGAACATCAGAAACTGGGTTGTACCGCTTGTGACTAAGCAGAGCTCCACTTCGGTGACCGAGGAGCCACCAGGGCGACGCGGGCCTCCAGCAGGACAATGCCCCTGCCCGCTGCGCGCGGGCGCGCGCCACTCCCGGCTCGGGAGCCCTGGGCACCGGCGCTTGACGCACGCGGAGCGGCGGGGGCCGCGGCCCGGGCCTCTTGGAACCCGAGAGCGGCTCGCAAGACGAGCCGGGTCAGGTCCCCGGGGGAGGCCGGGTGCCACCCGACCCGCAGGAAAGCGGGTGGCCCTAGGGGAGGGACGGGGGATGCGGGCACATCCTTCCGTTGCCGCTCTGCCTCTGCACCCCCGGGCATGGCTCCGGCCGGTCCCATTTCATCCTCCCCACGAACCTCCCAAGCCTTGTTGCCATGAGCCACGTTCACAAACGAAATCTTCCAGCCTCACGGACCATATGAACTCGCCCAAGCCGCCTCGGCTGGGAAGGTGGAGCGAAGGGATTTGAATACAGGACTTTTTTTTTTTTCTTCCTCTTTTACTCTATTTCGCTTGGCTCCCGACTCCTAGGGCGCCAAGGAAGGTAATTCGCGCCCCTTCGCGCCGGCTGTCGTGATGCTTCCCGGAGCAGTCCTGGGTGCGCCTCCTGGGGAGCGCTGGGGCGGAGGCATGGCTGCGCTGAGTGATGCAGGTAAAGGCGGGTTTGTCTGTCTGAAGTCCCTGCTTCTCTCCTCTGATTGTCCCTCCTCCCAGAGCCCCAGCTGTTTAAGACTTTCTATGTCTTGACAAATGGAGACACTACCAAAGTGAAGACAATTCCAAACAAACTAGGCAACTGGGGTTTATGCGGTGGTTTGTTCTCGTTTCCATGGGGAAAGGCCCAGGGCACACCTGCTGATGGGGGATGGGGGTGGCTGTCACTGAGTATATGCTATTCTCTGTTTCACTCTCATGAACCTGAGAGACTTATTATGAGCAGGTGCTAAAACCTGAATGTCCTTGGCTGCTTCCTCACTGAGCTTTTGCTGAGGTATCCAGTTGACTGCTGAGGGGGTGGGAGGGGGTGGGGATGGGTAGGTTGAAGAACATCCAAGTGATGATAACAAGAAAACCTCCCATTTCTGAAATACTTGCTAGGTGCCAGGCACTCTGAGAAGCCCTTTATAGCATTTCAGCCTGACAAAACAGGGGAGGCAGATAATACTGTTTATTCTCATTTAACTCATGAGAGATCCAGAGCTTTCAGAGGTAGTCTGTTCTGCCCCCAGGTCCTGCAGTGGCAGAGCGGGTTCTGTCCAGGGCTTCAGACTTCAGAGCCTGTCCAGCAGTGACTTCCCCATAGAGGAGGGTGTTGGTTGGTTGATTAGTGGTGCAGTGGTGTCTGACTCCTTTGCGAGTCAGGCATATATAGCCCACCAGGCTACTCTGTCCATGGTATTTCCCAGGCAAAAATACTGGAATGGGTTGCCATTTCCTTCTCCAGGGGATCTTCCCAGCGCAGTGATGGAACCAATGTTTCCTGCTTTGGCAGGCAGGAGAGAGTGACCTAGGGAAGCCACTAGGGAAGCCCCAGAAGGGGGTGAGTGTGTGCTCAGTCGTGTCTCCTATGCCACCTGAGAAGAGGGTAGGAGGCCACTCCAAAAAGACACCCATAAGACTGTGCCAGGAGAGACACAGACTCTCGGGTGGTCTTGAACCAGCTTTAGGATATGGTGGGGAAGGAGGAGGAGAAGAGTGGGAACACCCCCGCTTCTTGTCCAGATCCAAAGAGGGGATCCAAAGTTCAGTTCTTTACTTAATCAATTGTTTTTTGTTTTCAGAACTAAAGTGGAAATGACCCAGTGAGGAAGGAAAGTGAGCACCGCCTGCCCTGGCCACACAATTAAAACATATACGCTGGCCAAAGGTGCATCACTCCTCCACCCATCTCTTCAGACTGAGAAAGGCTCATTTTGACCTGGAAGCCTATTAAAGCATTCCACTGGGGGAATTCTCTGCCCCTGCTGGAGGGACACTGTGAGAAAATCTTGTTCTTTAGAATGCAGCCACACAAAAGGTTTTGTGCAAATACAGAGTCATGATTCTATAAATGCAAAGAAGAATTAGGGATGGTATGTGAACGAAAGCTGGACAGAGGATGCACGCCCAGATGCTGTCTTGGCCAGGTTGCAGTTTCAATGATCTAATGTTTTCTGGCTCCTTCTTGCTTTGCTTTTCCAATTTGGTTTGAATATTTGCATTGCTGTATTATTTTTCCTGTACAATTGCTGTTGTCTGTACACAATTAGGTCATTTTCACAGTTGGGTGAGGAGACACTTCAGACCTGAGATGAGCTGCAGCTGCTAGCTGACTCCCTCCTGGGTTGTGTAATTAGATTCCTGTCCTGTTGGCCCCAAAGACACTACCTGCACCCAACATCTGTTGGATTTTAATGTAAGCCATCTAACCAAGTGGAAAGAAACCATGACATCCCTTTGTAATGGTGGCTAAGCACATCTTGTCTTTGTAAGTTTGGGGTTAATTTGCTGATCTAGTCATCCTGTTCTTTGTGCCAAATCTAACCTTGTATTGCTATGCTCCAGATAAGAGAAAGGACTGTTTCCTGGCAGCCAGTGGCTTCTTGGTTTGTGGCAGGTCTGCTGAAGACCTGGGCAAGGGAGAAGAAAAGGAAATTAACAGGACGAGGAGGAAGGACCAGCTGTCTCCAGAAGTGCACACGGAAATTCATGTAGATGTTCAGGTCAGTACAGAGGCTGGACTTCGATCTCGGACTTTGGAGAGTGAGAGAAAGATGATCTGAAAGGAAAGGACGCTTATTTGGCAGGTGAAATCTGATCAGGGCCATGTCCACAAAGTGCTCCACAATGCCTCACTGGTGTAAACTCTCATTGATACACACTTGACTGATAGAGCTTTCTCAACTAAGTGAAGTTTGTGGCCCTTTGGTCAAGGCCAGGGCTAAAGTTTACATCCATGCTACTTTGAACTAAGGTTGGGCTAAACAAATGGAAAGGACATCTATGGTTATAGACACTAGGGAAGCCCCCTGACTCTTAATGTGCTTCATAATCAGACATGACTGTGCCCAGCTTATTGAATGGGCAGGATGGTCTCTGTGGCTCAGCCTTCTCATTGTTTTCTGCTTGCTTCCTCTTTGGTACCTTAGGTCTGAATCTGACAGTGGCCTTGTTGCTCCTCTTTTCTTTTTTCCTTTTTATCCAGATCACTTGTTCACCATTCATTTACTAGCTATTTGATCCCCTTCTGTGTGTCAGACATGTGTTAGATGCTGGAGTTACAAGTGAGTCAGGAGTCTTTGCTCTCGTGGAGCCTGCAGTCTCATGAGGAACACCAACCATGAGTGTGATAGGGAAACCTGTATTCAGGTGCTGAGTGATGGCTGAAGGAGGAGGCAGCCAACCCTGAGAGATGGGACCCCTTATCTAAGTTCTCACAGATGGCTGATGACAGAGTTGAAACTAAAGAGATCATTTGGGAATAGAAACCTGGCCTCCTACCATCATTTCCTTCCAAGACACCACACTCACAATCTTCTCCTCTAATTCTTTCTCATCCAGTTGCACATACTTAGAACTTACCCTTTTCTCAAAACTGAGCTATTCCCATCTCAGTAGGATTCACGTTTGTCACTAAAGCTAGATGTCTGTCCTATCTCTAAGAATTGATGTGTTGATAAGTTGAGCTGACAGACATAAAAGTGCTTTGAGAACTAAACCCAATACAAACCTAAGTACCAAAGCTACTATCTAAAATATTGATTCAATACATGAATCCATCAAGGGATCAACCATTAATACTAGGTTCTCTGGGGGCAGGGCATGTCTTCATATACAGGATGGCCCCATCCCTATAGGAATTTGGGGACAAGTTGATGGTACAGGGTTAAAGAGGGAAGAAAGTAGGTGTTTATTGAGTATTTATTGTGTGGTATGCAGAGTGCTACCTGCTTGTCCTTACAGTATCTCAGATAATTGTCACAACAATCTAGGAGGTTGGAGTGATTTTTCTTTATGTATGAATGGAATGCCCTCCCCCAATCCCTGTCTGTTCAGGCACAATGTAGCATAATAGCTAAAAGCCTTGTAACAGGACTCAAACTTCTTGAATTCATATCCAGGCAATGTTAACTACTTCTGGTATGACTGAGCAAATTACTCAGATTCTCTGTACTTTGGTTACAAAATTGGGATGACAAGAATGGTGCCAATTGTATGCTTTGTTGTAAGGATAAGATACATGGGAAGTACTTGCCACAGTGTCTAGTACAGAGTAAGCACTAGATAAAAATTAGGAGTTGTTGTTATTATCCAGCTCCAATCCCTTTTTATCTGCAAAGCCTTCCCAGATCCCCCATCAGAATTGATCTCTTTTGCTTCTGTATCCTCACATCACTGTGGGCATGCCTTAGCACATTCTTATGTGTACGTGGTTATTAGTGTCTGGCATAAAAAACACATTCAATAAATGTCAATGGTTGGATGAATGGATGTTTCTGTCTCCTAGATCTCTCTCCTATGCTCATAGAAGGAAGGTAGTATTGTGTTTCTTGCTATAAGGCAGACAAAACACCCAGATGTTCTAAATAAAATACAACAAATATACTTTGAATGCCTGGCCAAACTCTTGTGCAAATTAGGGAAATCCTTATGGACACACACACCCACACGAAGAGGGACTGGAATTTAGAGAAGTAAACTGCTACTGAAACTCTGCTGCTTTGGGAAATCTGACTACCTCATGACTTTGGGGTTTGGTTTCAGGGGCTTTATGGAGGACAGAAGACAAGGCATAGTGTCCTCAAAAGATGGTAAGCTGGAGTGAGATGTCTGCATAAAAGTGAGACTCACGAGCGTAGACTAAGGGGGGAAAAAAACCCCATCTGCATGAAGAAAAACAAAAGAAATGTCTGTCTTGGCCTGGGCTCATAAAATGTTAAAATCACAGACTTCCCCATCACAGATTTAGAGTTTAAATTTGTATTACCTACATGGTCTGGGAACTATAGCTGAAAATAAGTTTAAGTTGGTCCCAGATTGGTAACATCCCGAGCACCTGGCCTCTTCACTGGAGAGAGAGTCACCCAGGTCTCACTGGAGTCTAACAGATAAAGCCCCACTGAACATGAGATTACAATCTAAAATTACAAATCCCACTAGGAAACAAGCTACCATGAGTGAAAACTAGTAGAAACCATAGAACTAGACATTATAACAGCTATCATATATGAAATATAGATTTCTTAAAATGCTTAAATAAATAAAAGGGGGAAACAAAAACATGAAAAAGAATAAATAAAATCTAAAAGATCAGGAAGAATTGAGAAAGGACCAAATACTACTTCTGGAAATAAAAAATACATAATTATTAAAGTTAAAAATATGGTGAATACATAAAAGTAGAATAGATACAGATAAAAGGAGAGTTAGGGAACTGGAAGACAGATCTGGAGAAATTGCTCAGGATACAGGAAAAAAAGGGAGAGTTAGAGAGACAAAGAAATGTGAAACATAAGATGTTAAAGGAGTCAGGAAGAAAAAGAATATGAGAAAGGCAGCATTTAGATAAAATGGCTAAAGTTTCCAGGGTTCAGTTCAGTTCAGTTCAGTCACTCAGTCGTGTCCAACTCTTTGCGACCCCATGGACTGCAGCATGCCAGGCCTCCCTGTCCATCACCAACTCCTGGAGTTTATTCAAACTCATGTCCATTGAGTCAGTGATGCCATCCAACTCTCTCATCCTCTGTTGTCCCCTTCTCCTCCTGCCTTCAATCTTTCTCAGCATTAGGGTCTTTTCAAATGAGTCAGTTCTTCGCATCAGGTGGCCAAAGTATTGGAGTTTCAGCTTCAACATCAGTTCTTCCAATGAAAGACTTCCAGAGTTAAGGGCAGGAAATAGGACTTGTTTAATTTTTTAATCTAAAGCACTTTGGCAAGGGCCTGACACATAGTAGATGTCCAGTAGATGTTGAGTTGAATTGACACATGTGCTGTGCAATTTGCTTGTCCATTACTTCATACACCTATTTATTTTAAAAATATTCACTAAAGATACAGTTGTGAACAAAACAGACAAAATCCTTGTCTTCACTAAACTTATGTTCTGCTTGAAGAAAACAAATAATAAACAAGTTAACAAATTAATATTCAAGATACTTTAACACCGTAAGAAATGCTATGAAGACAGTGAGACGGTCATTTAAGAGAGAGACTGGGAATAACTTCATTTACAAAGTGAGAGTTCAATGATAAGAAGTCAAGTGAAGACATTACAAGTGAATGATACAGTGAGTGCAAAGGCCCTGAATGGGAAATAACTTGGCATTTTTTGAGGAAGAGAAAGAAGTCAATGTGTCCAGAGCTGACACAAAAAGTGGTATGAGATGTGATTGGAGAGATGGGCAGGAGCAACAGCATGTTTCCCCCCTGAGAGCACCACGAAGTCACTGCAGGGATTTAAGCATAGGAACAATGTATTCTGTCACCCTGCATACTGTGTGGTAATAGATTGTAGTGGTAGCAAGAATAGATCAGGGATCCTAGTTAGTGATTTCAGTCATTCAGGCAAGAGATGACAGCAACTTGGACTAGGATCATGGCCATGAGTATGGAGAAAAGTGGAGGGACTCAGATATATTTTGGAAGTAGAAACAGGGTATTTGGAGTAGATATAAAAGGTGAAGGAAAGGGGAGGTGGGATTAAGCATGATTCTTAAGTTTTTGGATTGAGTGGCTGGGTGAACAGCTGTGCCCTTTTCCAGATGGAGAAGAGCAGAAGAGCAGTATGTGAGTGGGAGTGGGGTGGGGACATGAAACAGGAGTTCTTTTTTGTGCATGTTAAGCTTGAGATTCCTGTCAGACATCTGAGCAGATAGCTGTGTATGAAAATATGGAGGAGCTCAGGAAAATGAGCCCCAAGCCAAGGAGTGTTCCTATTTTGCAGCTTATGTTTCCTTCAAATCCTCCTATAGTGTAGGTATGGATGGGGGTATGCGTGGGGCACTGACCACTTCAAGCTACAGACTCCGTGGAAGCAGGGTCAATGGAGCTCTGGAGTTTAGGAGACTCTTTTGGGCCCATTGCTTAACTCAGCATGGGAGCTTACAGTCTTCCAGGCCCATGGAACCCTGATGATTTTGGTAGCTGCTGTAGTTTTAAGGCAAAGTGCTTTTTGAGGGATGTCAAAAGTCTGAGTTCAGAAACGACTCAGTGACAAACTCAGGCGGTTCTTGTGTGGGGAAGGGTGGAGAAGTCATCATGTCATCTGGCGCCCACCCCCTCCCTCCCACTAACTCAGAGCATTGTCTCTCAGAGATCCAAGGGAGTCAAGTGTCAGGAATATGACGCATCAGAGATACAAAGGCAAAGGAGATCCCAGCATGAGTTAATGACTGAAGAATGCCTTAGCCCATTACATACGCGAAAGTGAAACCTCTGAGGAACAAATAAACAAAGGGTATCGTATTGATATAAAAATACAAGAAGCTCACTCTGTGGTTGCTGACATACATCACTGTGGAAACAAACTCATGTCTGAAGTGACTATGGTTAAACTTGGAACCACATGACAAGAGCTTTAGGAAGTTCCGAAGTAATCAAGAATAACTTGAACAAAATAGCTTTCTTCCCCAAGCTTACGGGCTTTGAGAGAAAGGACAAGGACTCCTCTCTGGAGAGGAGGGACCACAATGCAAGGGGACCAAGTGACTCAAGGTAAGTTATTTCATATAAAAGAAGGAAACTACTGTCGCCTTGGAAAACAACTGTAAGTTGACTGCCATCAGTCAGGATTCAGCTCTAAAATCCATAAGACTGTAGCAGGATTCTTTTCTTCTCAGCTATGCATACATTCAAGCTTGCTGAGACATCTTTTTCCTTTCATTTCTTAGGAAAACCAAACTGTTACTTTGATCCTATACCTTACCATGTCGCTCTGCCAACTAGGAAACTCAGAGTCAAACCAAGGCCCACCCTTAATTTATAAGTACAGAAAAGTTTAGGTAAATGTAGCTTTAAGTCCACCTTATTATTGGGTTAACTTTGTTTTTAATCCTTATTTTTCTTTCATTCCCCATTTTATTTATTTTTTTTTTTAAAACAGTATGGTTCACATACCACGTGTTTTGGAATGAAGTAGAATACAAGAAAAAAATAAATAACCTTTCTGCCCAAACAAGGCAGCATGAAAAACAGGTACCTGGTGGTGTTAGGATATCTCAATGAACAGAACAGGTTCTAATTGCTGTCTGTTAGACACCTACGTCAGTATCATTAAGTTCATTAGATAGACAGGAATCTTGTTGCAGCTATAACATGATGGCATATTAAATGTTCATGAACAAAAGAGGAGGTATTCAAGGTAAGATGGGCAGAGCCAATGAAAACAACCAGCTGTGCAATTCCAGCTCCTTTAGGGGTTGATTTCCACCCAGCCTGGGAAAGGCTCCCAGGAGGAGCTCCTTTGGCCTGCCTAGGTGGTTTTCTTACAGAAACTTGGTTGTGTCCTGGGCACGCTTAGTCCCTCAGCTTCCACCTACTGGGACAGACCAGACTGTTGTCCAGACCAATGGGTCAGAACCCACCCTTGACCCCTGGAAAGGTTACTTTGCCTGCTGTCTGATTATTTTATTTACATGTTAGCAGTTTTACTACTTTTCTTTTGTTTTTAGAAAATTAAAAAGTAATTTTTTAAATCCCAAGAGTAAGAGAAGGGCAACAAAAATTCAGATATACCAAACTATATAAAATATAAAATCAAACTTCCTTTCTTTTCCTCTCTTCTCCCATTCCAATGCTCCTACCCATTTGTCAGATGTAGCCACCGCTAACTGTAGTGCGAACACATCTGGATCTTTTCTGTACACATTCAGATATCTTTACATACACATACATGTGCTCATAAAGTCTGTGTATAGCTTTTTTTTTCTTTAAAGAATTTTTCTCTTCACATTATTCTGTAACTTGCTTTTTGCAGTCAGTAAAATATTGTGAACTACTGTTACATACATAGCAACCACATTCTTAATGGCTAGTGAATGAATCATGAAACTATACCAAAATGTATTCAACCTATTAAGGAACATTTAGGTTGTTTCTAATATTTTGATAGGACAGATTAATGCTGCATTGAGCATTCTTATACCTGTATTGCTCTTTTTATTTCTAAGAGTAGAACTGCAGGGTCAAAGGGTATGCCTGTATTGGATTTTGATAGGCACTGCCTAACTGCCTTCCAGAAAGACTGACCACTTTGTACTTCTACTAACTATGAAAGAAAGCCCTTTGTTCACATTCTCATCAGCAATGGATATTGCCTGCTTTTTTTCCTTTTTCCTTTTTTAAAAATTTGGGCAGAACTGATTGGCAAGAGCGTGGTACTTATTTTAATTTGTATTTACCAGACCAGTAGTAAACTTGATCACTTTTAGTCTTTTACTATGGGTACAATGAAAGACAAAGTTGAAGGAGTAGTTTTAATGTATTTCTTTTAGAGACAGATGACAAACCCGAAGTGTGATATTTTAAGCTACTGACCTCTAAGAGGGCTTCCCTGGTGGCTCAGATGGTAAAGAATCAACCTGCAATGCAGGAGATCTGAGTTCAATCCCTGGGTTGGAAGATCCCCTGGAGAAGGGAATGGCAACCCACTCCAGTATTCTTGCCTGGAGAATCTCCATGGACAGAGGAGCCTGGCAGGCTACAGTCCATAGGGTCACAAAGAGTCGGACATGACTGAGCTACTAAGCACAGCTTAAGAAGATCCACATTTGAATGTTACACATTTCCATGTTAGGAAAGTCAGTCATAATTTCACTCCCAAGGTCAAATTGCATATGATGTTTATTCTTGGCTTTACATAATGGCTTTGGCCCAGAACATTAGAAGATGTCAGAACTATATTTTGATAATTTTCCCTTGTGCCAACATTATCATGCTAGCAGTTACAAACAACAGAAACTACTCTGACCAAATTATGGATAATAAGTTTATTATATAATGGTTGAGAGCCCACAATTGGGCTAATTAACGGGATGACTGGCCCCCAGGAACCACCTTGGTGGTCTCATAGCAGGCATGGTATGGCTGGAAGGTCTCCTCTACACAGCAAATGTTTTAAATTTCTTGATCTCTGTGCTCAAGAGTCTACTTCTAGGGAGAAAGCATCTATTGGCTTAACTTGGGCCTCAAGGGAAGGCAGGCTCTTAACTACAATCCCAGTAGAATGAATCCAACAGGAAGAGATCCTTCTTCAAAAGAAAACTGGGGTATTGTTAGGGAGTGAAGTGGATGCTAGTCAGCCAAAACCAAAACAGAACAAACAAAACCATCCCCTACACTAATGTTTCCAACTGCCATTTCTTCTCTTCCCCTTGTAAACTTTTCAGTTCCCACAGTCTTCATAGATAACCTTTCAGATAGCATAGCAAGGGGCTTATATCCAGAATGGGGACCCCATGGGGCAGAATAACAGAGACCATCTTATTCAACTTGCATTTTGTGCTGTGCTTTCTCAAGTACTTTCTACTATTCCAGCCCTGGGATCAAAACACTGAAGTCAAGACTTCCCTTGTGGTCCAGTGGTTAAGAATCTGCCTTCCAATGCAGGGAATGAGGGTTCGATCCCTGGATGGGGAACCAAGATCCCACATGCCGTGGAGCTACTAAGCCTGCTCAATACAACTAGAGAGCCCAGGTGCAGTAACCACTGAAGTGCTCTAGAGCCTGTGCTCCACAACAGAGAAGCCCAAGCATCGCAACTAGAGAAAACCTGTGTACCAAATGATGACCTAGAGCAGCCAAAAGCAAAAAATACACTGAAGTCTTAGAACAAGAAAATTTTTCCTGAGAGTTTATAATATTGGCTTTCTCTCACTCTGCATGTTACTTTGGTTATCCTTGAATACATAGAAATTCTGTGTATTCATTTCTTTATTCATTCATTCATCCAACTATACTTATAGAAAGCAATGTTGTGCTATACATTGTTCTAGGTGCTGAAGGAACAGCAATGAAATGGAAAGACAAGGTCTCTGTCCTAGTAACAGATGATGCTGGAAGGAGAAAGCAAGGCTGGTATTTGGACTTTGGATTTTATCTGAAAAGCAATATAAAATACTTAAAGGTTTTGGACAGGTAAGAAATACAATCAGATTGTATTTTAGATACATTATTTTAATTTGTACTTTAAGTCCATAGAGAATGGACTATGAGGCGATAAGAACAGAAGCCAAGAGACCAGTCCGAGGACCAATGTAATAGCTGGATGAGAAAAGATGTTAACTTGGACTAGTTTGGTGGCCAAAGAGAGAATGAGATGTGGACAGAATAAGGAGATATCTAGAAAGCTGAATGAATAGGATCATGTAGCTGGTTGGAGTATTAGAGAAAAGGAAAGAGAAAAAGATAATTCTGATATTTCTGGTGTGTGCAACTGAATGAATGTGATGACCCAGGGAAGCTGGTTAGGGGGGAGTGGAGAAAAGAATGAACTAGCCATGTGTTACACTGAGTGCATGTGTGATTGTCATGTCAAGTAAGCAGTTAGGTCAGGTCTGAAGGTCAGAAGAGAGATTCAGTGGTCACTAAACCAAGGAGTTAGAAGATGATGTCCAAGGAAAGGGTGTAGATTGAATAGATGGGTCCCCCAACATTGAACTCATATCTTAAATAAAGGAACCCTGGAATAGTTTGCCTCAAGAATTGTCTATTTCCTGTGGAGCCCCACATCAGTTCTTTTCTGCTGCAGTTTTTTTCAGTCTCCAGCACCAGCTGGCCCCTGCATGTAAGGAGGCTACTAACTCAAGCAACACTGCTGGTGGACCCATCATTTAGCCCAGATCATAGAAGGATTCTCAACTAAATCTGTTCAGTTCCATCTTGTTTGGAGGGAGACATGCTCCTCATCATGCCCACATCCTCACACAGACTGTCCAGGTAAGTCTCCCACCTTTGGTTCAAGGGCTTACAGATTTCTGGGGCCACTGGACACAGGGATGCACAGGCTATGGGTTGTTGTTGGTGGGATGGTGGGTCTACCCCTTGGTGATATCCCAGCCCTGAGCCCTTTCTACTCTATTCCTCGGTTTTCATGGCAAATCTGAGGACCCTCCTCCCCCCACACTATCCTCTCTGGTGCCACTTGCCCCTCTCCTGCCTCCTTTCCTCACACCAGCACTAGGGTGTCCAATCATTAAATATGGAAATATCGTATATTCAGTGGATCCTTTGGGTCTTTGTTTCTGTTTCCATCTGCAGTGCCCTTAGGTATCAGGGAGAGAGAAGAAGGGAAGGGAAACACACAGGAAGCATGTCAGTAGGCTGAAACTCTGCTACACTTTCAGATGACAGCTCACCTACAGACAGATGGTTTAGGAATCAGCTAAGCGCTGGATTTCTTAATATTGCCAGGAGTAACTCAGAAGGCTGGGGATATGGCTGGAAAGATGAGACACCCAAGCTTTTGAAAACCACAGTTTTGGTAAATATATGCATAATTTAAAAAATGTATTTGCAAAAATCTAGTTGCCTCCAGTCCAGTCTTCCCTATTAATCAAAGGATTTTTTCTTGAGCTCTGTGGCCCAGTCTAGGATCCCAGCTCTGACTGCTGCTCTCCATGCAGGTCTCAATGAATTTCTCTCAGAGTCTCCAGACTGCCTTGGCTGACGACTTGTTCCTCTTGGGACAGTTTTCGCCCGAGCTGAGCAGCCTGGCCCCCAGCTGTGCGGGGCCCTCTCTCCGGTAAGAGGAAACGCTTTCAGCTTAGTCCATTAACACAAACATTCAAAAGCAAACATTCAAAAGCCACAGATCGTGTTCACATAAATAAAACAGGATTGAGAAAAGCTTCACCCCAAGAAACCAAAGGGGTGTTTTAAACAACTGCCCCTGCCTTCCAAGTAGGCAGGCAGCAAAAGCCACAGCGATTCCAAAGCCTCGTGTGCTCCTTAGAGCTGGGTGGCTGCGGCCACAGGCCTTTGAAGAGGAAATGCCATCCCCAGGACAGGCAGAGAGCCAGCCCCAAGTCCTGAAAGTACCAGAGAGAAGCTGAAAGCAGTGAAGGGGAAGGGGGAGCACAGCAGGGAAGTGAAAAACGGGAGGAAGGTGCAGGGAAAATAAAGGGGGAGGCTCTTCCCAACTGGGCTCCCCACACCCAGGCCAAAGAGTCAGTAGACAGAGCGGTTCACTGTGCCCCTGAGACGGAGCTGGCCATGGAGGGGCCTGGGCGGCGGGCACAGCCCAGGGTGACTAAGGCCCCGCAGAAGGGTGTGTGTTCTTGCTGAGGGGTGGAGAGGGGTGGTGGTGTCTGGGCTGAGAGATGCCTTTACTTTGAAAGCTTCTGAGGAAATTAACTTTACAAGGTACCTCCCTGTCTCCCAGAGTTATTAAAAGAAAGGAGGGAGCAAAGAAGAAATGGAAAAATGGTAACACCTCAGGAAGGGCTGAATGATCCCAACTGAAGGAAATGGGAGGCGGATTAAGTGATGAATGTGCAACCTCCTCTCAGGGAGGAAGAACTCTGAGTGTGACCTTGTGTAAATGGGAAAAAACAAAACAGAAAACCCCCACGCAAAGCACAACACTCAGTGTGGCCAAGGGCAAAACGCAGACACACGTACACATGCCCTTTGAATATGTAGGATGAACGACTAATTAAATAGCCTAGGAACTTCCAAGTAAAAGGTCTGTTGGTACTTCTGTCTCAGTGGGGCAGCACCGAATGCTAAAGGGATGGAGTGAGGAAGAGAGGTGCTATAAGTCATGGGGTCCCGAGAAGGTGGCAAGTCTGGGAGCCTTTGGAGTCCTAAGAGTGGGGCCCATAGATGGATATCTATCCAGACATCCATTGCTCATTTGTTGATGAAGAGAAAAAAGGCACTAAATCTAATCACTCTTTAAAAAAAAAAAGGGAAGCCAACTGAAGCCATTCATTTCACAGGGTAGGAAGCCAGGTGTTTTCCTATGTGTTAAAAATCTGGGGTTTAAAAATGTAAACCCCTCCTGCCTGACAATAATCCTCACAGCAGATGAGGCCATGCTCGCCCAACTCTGGCAAGCCCAGTCAGTGTTTGAAAGCACGATCCTTAGAAGCTTGTGCCTGCCCAGACATGTGTACCCACAACTGCCTTACATTCAGAATTGCATTCAGGTGGACTAGCAAATCCAAGGTTGGAAAAAATATACTGGGAGAGAAACAGCCTGCCTTCTGCTCCTCTTCTTGCTCTTCACTCCTAAGTCCTCCATCCCCTAAGACTCTGCAGGTGACACTTGGAGTGAGTGGCCTTCTAGTGGCTTGGTATCTCTGTGTCCTTCCAGACAGTGCTGCATTTGCCCGGTGGTGGAGGAAACATTTCCAGCTGCTTTCTGCTGGCTCCTTCATCAAAGCTGCTTCTGAACCTCTCATACGGCTCCTCCCAACACGCAAAGCCTCTGTGTGGTTAGGAGTTTTCTTCACCAAATTGTCAGAGTCCTGATGACAGTATTTTAAAACAGAAGTTGATTCACCCAGGTACACAAGGTCATGATGGACAGCTCCAGTCTCCATGGGCCAACTTTTATTTTTCAACTCCTCTAATTATTTTGTGTGTGTATTAAGAGAATTAGAAACAATCATTGCCACTTATAGTAAGTGTTTACCATGTGCCAGATGCTTTATATATATTACGCTATGTAATTCTTGGCCTGAGAAGGCACCATGTTGTTTCCTGGGTTAACTGAGGCTCAGAGAAGCTGAGCAGTTTGTGAGAAGATATAGGACTGGAAAATCAGAGTTAGTATTTGAACTCAGTTCTATTTAATTCACTAGTGGGTTCCTTCAATCAGTATCCTGGACTGGCTCCAGGGGCCAAAGATAGATTTATTTCTACAACAGGGAAAAACTGGTAAGAAATCCCATGCTGAGCTAAACCTTTAACTAATATAACTCAATGGTCTGCCTCTGGTGTTGACCAGCAGAAACATTAGATAGGCAAGGTTAGGACATCATGTTAAAAAAGTTGAGTAACTCCCTAAGTATCTCCTAATCTCTCACTGATATATGCTAAATCCATTAATATTTTCAGTCTACGTCAATCTCTTGGATACTAGTTTCTGTATGTTTATTATTTTCTATATTTACTATATTTTGGGGTACTCTGAATTACTTTTAAGTTTCAAGGGACACCCTTATACTCTGTTATTCCTAGATTTATTGGCTGATAGAAATCAAGACCAAAAGGAAAAAAATCTCAACAGGCTGAAATGATAGAATAAAAATGAGTGACAATAAATGACAAATCATGAACTGAGGTTCAGTTAGTCAGCTAACTGACTGCAGAATGATGGCGAACAAAGATGGACATTGTTACTTCATGGTCAGCCGTGGATAAGGTGACCTTAGGCTGCCTGAATAGAAACATAGAATCTGGGACAAAGCAGGGGACAGCTCTAGTTTAGTCTACACTGTATATATATTAAGTCATGTTCTAGCCACCCAGCTTTAATAGTAACAAAGACATTTGGGTGTTAAATTTAAAAAAAATGTGAGAAAACCACATTTCATGAAGAAATCTGATGTGTGTATTGAGGGAAAAGTGGAAGAGGGCAGGATTAAGTGTCTTGAAACATTTGAAGCCAGGGAGCAACTTCAGAGGGAAAAACTGGAACCAAATGGAAAGAAATTTCAAGGGGCCGAATTTGGTTCAGTACATGGGAGAATTTTTCTATCAAAACTTCCAAAACAGAATGTGTTGCCTCAAATGGTGATAAGCTTTCCATCCTCGGGATATGCAAAAATAGGCTGGATGACCACTTGTGAGAGATGCTTTGGAGGAAATTCTGAAATTGGAAGTGGGCAAGGGTAATTTCATAACCTTTAGGCACCCTTCCAGTTATAAGATTCCCCATTTAATATATCTCACCCTTCATTCACCATCTGGGCAATCCCTAAAACATCCAGTAATCTCTCAAAGCTTCAATTTTCCCTTCAGTAAAAGGATTATATGAAACCTGTTAAATCACAAGTTTAATGTGAAAATGCTAGTTATATTTTACTAAGATTCATAATTATATTTTTTAAAATAAAAAAAATTTTTCATGAGTCACATAAAAATCACCGTGCTTATTTTTTTAAACCCCTGAAGCATCTTTGGAGGTCCTGGACTAGTTGATTTCTATGGTCCTTTTGGTTCTAAGATCCTACAGTTCTGTGGTTTTGCAGAGACCTTAAAGGTCATGACACAAAGGGGAAAGGAAGCTCCTTGGAAAAGACAAGACCACTAAAAGGAGGTGCTTGTTTGAGTTTCCTCACATTCTCTATGTCACTTATGAAATTTTGTTGCTGCAAATGAGGGGGAAGCACTCCAGAATGACTACAAAATGAAAGCAAAATGTTATAACCAGGATCCATCTCTTAGCTCTGCTTCTAGCTTCTCACGCTGGGTCCCCTTGTGGCAGCAAAAATAGTGACATCCCCATGAGTTAGGCTAGTGAGGAAGAGAGATGGAGTTCTAGCAGTCCTAGCAAAAATTGGAGGCTCATTCTGGTATGGATTTCCATGCCCATTCCTGAACCAATGACTGTGGCTGAGATGGAATGGGAAGGCGGGCATCAATCCCAACCCAGCTCTACAGCTGAGGATATGGGGAAGTGGCCCTCAGAGGAAATGTGGAGAACCAGACAGAAGGACTCAGCAATGTTGCCTGGTCCAGGCTTCGGCTGCCTGACAGCAACCCACGGCTTCCACACACACAGGTCACATTACTTCTCTAAAGGGACATCATGTGAAACTTCATTACTAAAGCTAGATCCAAGTTCAATATTTCATGTCAGTGTGCAAATCTTGTCAAGTGATTCTTTGTTCAGTGATCTGTGGGTAAATAAGAAGTTAAGCCACACCCTATGTATATTAGGACAGAGAAAACAGAAAAATTCCAAATTGCAAAGGACATCCAGTGGCTACCAGGCCTCACACATATTACATGGACAAAAGTGGCAAAGACTCCCTATCTTGCAGTGAAGTGGTGGTCTGGGGCTGCCTCAGTTTCACTTTCTAAGAGGATCCCCTTGTCCCCTGTTTCTGTGAGAGAGCCTTTTCATAGGACAGCACAGCTTTAAATACCATTGCTCTCTGGTATAAATGGGAGTGCATCTGTGGTGGGGGAAGGGGTTCCAAGGACAGTTTTCAGACTGGTTCCCATCTATGTGTTTCTGGTTTTGATGGTTAACTTTATGTATCAACTTGACTGGGTCATGGGGTACCCAGATATTTGGTAAAACATTATTCTGGATGTTTCTGTAAGTATATTTTGGAATGAGATTAACATTTAAATCAGAAGAGGCAGTAAAGCAGACTACTTTCCCTAATATGGGTGGGCCTCAGCCAATCAGTTGAAGGCCTGATTAGAGCCAAGTGGCTGACCACCCCCTGGGTAAGACAGAATTCCTCTGGCCTGACCACCCTTGAGCAGGGACATTCCTTCAGACTCAAACTGAAACATCTGCTCTCCTGGGTCTTAGCTTGAGCACTTACCTTGTAGATCTTGGGACTTGCCAGACTCCATAATCACATGTGCCAGTTCCTGATAAATCTGTTTCTCTCTCTACATATATACCTATTGGTTCTGCTTCTCTGGATAACCCTGATAATACACTGGTCAATTCCATGAGTTAGAAATAAAAGTAGAGATCCAGCTGATTTATAGCTTCATTTAGAACACAGATTTGGGGTAGCTGTAAATTAATGGCTTCTACCTCTATATTGGCCTCCATTGGGGAGATACAATGGAATGACCTGGAACTACGCTCCCTTTGCTGGAGGGCTGCACACCAGCTGCATCTGTTCAAGAGGCATGGCTGTGCCTTTTGACAGGTCAGGAGGGTGCAACAAGAGCATTCTAGAAGAGGTATGGGAGATCACACTTATTCTAGGTCCTAATCTTTCTTTGGGCTTCCCAGATGGCTAGAGAATCCTCCTGCCAATGCAGACCAGGGTTCGATCCCTGGACTGGAACGATCCCCTGGAGAAGGAAATGGCAACCCACTCCAGTATTCTTCCCTGGGAAATCCTATGGACAGAGGAGCCTGGCAGGCTCCAGTCCATGGGGTTGCAAAAGAGTCAGACATGGCTGAGCGAATAAACAACAGTAATAATCTTTCTTTATTGTACTTTTCCCTTCTTTTTTCTTTTCCTCAAACTAATTTAATTTTATAAGGAATCTGGCTTTTCCATTCAGCAAAGGATCCAGATGAATACACTCAGTTGACTTGGGTCACAGGCAGAAACTATTTTTTGTAGCAAAGCCCTATTTCATTCCTTCTTGGTTTTAGAGGCAGTGGCTCTTGTAAAATTTACAAAGGCTTCAACCTGCAACCACTACATTCCTACAACCTGAACTTTCCACCCAAGGCCCTGAATGCTGCCACCCAGAGAGTCACATGGGCTGAAAATCCCAGTATACATTAGACAATTTACCACAAAACAAGAACTGCCAATAACTGACTGTGTTAAAGACTGTTATTGTCCCAATACCCATCTAATTATCCTCCTTAGTAAGAAGAATCCACAATTTTCAGTTAGGCACATTACCAATCCGAAGGACTTCTTCCCATTCCCTTGAAAGCAGGTATGGCTATACGGCCAAGTTCTGGATATGGGGTATCAACAGAAGTGCTGTGTGCAACTGCCACAAACTGTCCATAAAGGGCCCGTTAAGATTAGTTTTCCTTTTACAGACCAACCTAATCCTCACTAACACCCAGAAGTTCTTCTATCTTCATTCATCCAATTCTATAATCCAGGGGCTGCAACTTGCCATGCTCATTTCCTGGTATTAAATTCTGACAGTTGACAGAAAATCTAACTTACACAAACTTGATTAAGGGAGGAAAAAAGAGGAATGTAGTAGGTAATGTGACTGAGCACTCCACAGGGATGAATGGGCTTGGCTTAATCTAGATTCAATCAGCTTCCTCTGAGTTGTCACCAGTCTCAGGCAGGCTCCCCTTACAGTGGCAAAACAAGCTAACCTGCTTTTAACCTGCATCTTTATAGTAGGGGAGATTCTATCTGCCTGTTCTGTAGGTCTCTTGGATTGCACCAGCTTAGGTCACCTGCACAGCTCTAAACCAAACACAGGATCACAGGAGTGGGATCTGTTGAGGCTGCTAAAAACCCACCCTAGAGCTAGGGTTGGTCTTAATTCCATCTGAACCAGATCACTGTGAACAGGAGCTGCTAGCTTCCCAAAGAAACTCAAGCTAATGAGTTTCTTCCGAGAAGGGGGATGCATGTTGAGTAGCAAACAACACATTTTACCATACTCTTTAACTTATATTTGGACCATCACCTGGCCTAAGCTTTACAGATTCATTACCACCCTTTGGAGAAATCTTAAACAAGACTAAAGGAGATTACAAAATATTTTAAAGTCCTTTTGAATAGACTAAGTTATAGGATTTCAAATTAAGTACTGTTTGACAGGTTAAGAAAGAACTTACTGTCCTTCATACTCCTAAGGGACACGGAAGTTTGGTAGGGGAAAGGAAGATTTGATTGCTTAGGAAAAAAAAAATCAAACCAAACCTCCCAACAGGTCTTGGCACTTAAGAAAGTGAGGAAAGAACACCTGGATCATGCTTTCCCTTTGACTGTCCACACACAGGTCAGCCACAAACAGTAGCTTCCTTCTTGCAGAGTCGCGTTAATTCATTACCTGGAAGACTGGATGCCTGCTCTCATTTGGCTTTCCTGGCCACCTCAAGTTTTCCATTTCCAATGCTTAGAAGTTTTGTTTGTGAGGGTCCAAATGTGGCAGGAACTATTTACAGGCTTCTAAGCTGCACTCGGTGTGCAGGCCAAGGGTGTTGGCTGAACAACCAACCAACCTTTCCAGGGAGAGATCTGAAGCAGGGGATTTGAAAAAACACCTTCCAATCTGTCAGGAACATGGAAAAAGTTGCTGTCTCTTCTACATTGGCGGGGGCGCCAAAGCACATCACAGCATCTGGTTAACCAACTGCTAAAACTTCAAAACACAGAGATCAGACTCTACTGTTTTTCTTTAGGAACACAGAGCAGCAGTCAAGCATAGGACCACAGGGTTCTAGGAAAAATAAGAAGTTACTGGGCTTCAAGGACTGTCTTTGCACCACAGATTCATAGTGTACAGACTTAAACTAGAATCAACTGTTCAAAGAGCCAAAAGAAATCATACCGAGAGGTGATATGTGACAATCTCTTCTCATGGTAAAAATGACTGAGAACACTTAGCAGAAAACTGGGAGAAGGAAATCTTTTCTGAGATATTAAGTGAAACTGTTATTTGATGAACACTGCATTACCTACCCAAGGGGGATGGAAATTTCCCTTTTAAAAATCAAGAGGCTTCGTTTACTCTCCTTGGTTATATAGTTGAGAGCATGAACACTTGCTTTCATGAAATTAAGAATTAAGACTCACATTTCACTATTTACAAGGCCTTTGTCTTTTCATGGAGTTTCTCCAACTATCCCATTTTCACTTTTGATGTCATTCCAAGATTTCCAACAGGTCCTGAGATTACACTTCCTCCCCTATGGTTGTCCTAGCTCCCCAAGCCTGTCCTGTCCAGAGGCAATGCCCAGCAGCTCTCAGTTGGATTCACCAGTGTGCCAAGCACACATTCCTGCCGCAGCTCAACATAAGGTCAACTCGACAACCATTACCAGCTGTCTTTGTGTCCTTCTGTCCTTTCCATGTGGGCTCCCTTTACCATATAGTCCTGGGCAGCCAGGTTCCCTGATCCGGTTCTAACAGCTCTGAGCAGTGCTCAGTTCAATGGTGCACAATCCATCACGGGCAAAGAAACAGACTTGATACTAACTTCTTGGACTCCACTGAAAGAAACTGGCACTAGCATCAACAGCTGGTTTCAAACTAACTGAAGTGATTGAAATTTTTATGCCCAAACCAGCAAAATATGAGTAACATGGATGAAAGACTCAAGGCAGGAACTGAAAACATTAGAAGAAACAGCACACTGTCCATCAACGGCAAGAAAAACCTCCAAGAAAAGCGGTTTCACAAACTCTGAAGAAACTGTCCTACTTTTCCAAAAAATTCGGTAGGTAAAGAAGCCTATTAAAATAATTATCCATTTTTAAGTAGCCGTAAACTGTAATATCATCTCAAAATCATTAAGAAACATAGTATGACTTCAGGATGACTTGATGACCTGGGCAGAGCCCATCCAGGAATCCAATTAACCTAATGGTTAAGGACATGACCTCTGAAGCCTAACTTGCCTTGGTTTAGATCGTGGCCCACCTAGTTAATTTCCATGTAACCCATCCGGTTTGGACGTTTATTTCCTTCCCTATATAAAATGGGGATGATGGTACTGTATTTTATTGACTCTAGTATCCACATTTTAACATTCTTGAAATCTCTAGGGCCTTAAAAAAGGCTGGTGGCCAGGCCATAGTCATGATGTACCTGTCATTGCTTGTGCATATGTGGACTTGGTGGTTGTTTCTGGTGGCACAAATGGACATTAGCAATCTTTCAATATTTCATTCCACAGGCCATCATCTTAATAACAGTTGACCAAAATCCTTCTGTTAAATATCTTTGGATCAAGGAAACATCAGCATCAGAATGTGCAGAATGGGTGTCAGTGTCTGACTTTTTGTGACCCGATGGACTGAAGCCCGCCAGGCCCCTCTGTCAGAATTTTCCAGGCAAGAATACTGAAGTGGGTTGCCATTTCCTCCTCCAGAGGATCTTCCCAAGCCAGGGATCAAACTCATGTCTTTTGTGTCTTCTGCATTGCAGGCAGATTCTTTACCACTATGCCACCTGGGAAGCCCTCATTCCACAGACCATTGTCTTAATAACAGCTGACCAAAACCTTTCTGTTAAATACCTTCTGATTAAGAAAACCAGCATCAGAACTTGCAGAATGGGTGTCAGTGACTTTGAAGGAAATTGCACAGACAGTGGTGGAGCAGTTCATTAAGAATTGCTGCATCATGTGGTCTGAGTCATAAAGGTCAGACTGTGAAGTTTTAGGAATGCTTTACCCAGTTAATTTCACTTGTTTAAAATATAAGCACAGAATGATATGTTTGTCTCAATATCACATTACATCAATTCTAGCTATTTTTTCCATATTTTAACATCTCAAGTCAGGATGTGTCATACAATTTGTTGAGCCTTGTATTTTTATTCTTAGTGCTATACAAAATGGTATGTCTTACAATTGACGAAGTCTGAGGTTTATTGAAATAAAACGCCTAACAGAGATTTTTGCATAAGCATTCTACATTTTCTAAAAAGCATTGTCACAGTTTAATTGGCAGCATTGTTTTCTGTTAATAAAACGGCACATCTTCTCACTAATGACATTGTGGAGTCAATGAAACACAGCAGTACTTACCTCACCGGATTGTGAGCAATCAGTGATTAACAGTTTTAACGTGCTTAGAATGGTGCCTATGTTCTATGCTTTTAGACATTAATATTAGCTTATCAGTCAGGGGCTTTGCTATAGATTGAGAGATATCAATCTATAACAAAACCTTAAAAATTTGTTTTCAACCTAGAGAGCTTCCCTACTTCTCCCAACTTATCTCAATATCCAGTCTTTATTGAGGTCTTACTTTATGCCAGAAGCTGCTTGATATTGTGCCATAATTATCAACCAGAGATTTGGTCTTGAAGACCACTTAAACAACAGTTTTAGCAATAATTATATAGACAGGAAGAAAGATAACACCAGGTTCTGAGAGGAATTAAGAGAAGGCAAATATTGAACACCCATCATTCATCATTTAACAGTGTGACCTAATGATAAGCTTGAACCTCTATTGCCTTAGTTTTCTCATCTGTAAAATGGATTTATTATAAACCCTGTAGATAATGCTGTCTACCATAACATGAATCAGTTCCACTTTCCACCTGAGCCCCTATTCACAAATGCACGTGGGCTCAAATCCCAACTCTTGGTTGGGGCAAGGAACATGAAAGACAGGGTGAAGGTGGGTGAGGAGATGGCAGGCTGTCTCTATAAGTGGGGAGCCAGAGGGTGAGTTAATCTCAGAGAAGGGTGCTGAGATGGGCACTGACAGCCTGCAAGACTCCTGGGCTCCTGCTGTCTTCTTAGATGTACAAGATCAACATAGGGCTGGCTCACAATTGTCAGAACAGTGCATGGTATTTAGTAAGCTATTAATATATACCAGTTATTAACCTTATTTTTAGTGTGATATTAAAAACACTTAACAACCAGTGTGGCATGAGCATCTGCCTATCAGGAGATGCATGCAGTGTGAACATGACTATGGGTTCTACATGAAAGGCTCACAGCCATGACTGGTCAAGCTGAGTCTCAGAGAGTAGGGAGAATATGCTCATATGGAGATTATGAACAAGCAGAAAGGCACTTCGGGAGGGGGGGGGGGAATGCTTGGGATGTATATATGGTAGTGTTTTTGTTGTTTTACGAGACTGAAGTTAAAGGGTGGAGATGAAGGAAAGAAATGGCTGTAAAATTAGGTCGGGGCCCAGTCATGAAGAGTAAGTGGTATTGTATTCATTAAGAAAACAAAACTGGCAATAGCAGAATTGTGTAGCAGCTTATCAAAGGCTAAAGGGTGCATTTGGTTATGAAGTTCAAAATGAGTGCAGCCCACCACATTTCAATATGGAAAATGTCCACATTTTAGTTCATTTTAAAGAACACGCACACATACTTTAGATAGCTTTCAGTTGACCAAAGTTAAAAGAAAATATTTTGTAATGAAGTACAGATCCTCAGAGGTTTAAGGGTCTATTTATACTAAAATAGTCTTCATTTTTTTGACGCATTATCCTCCAGTACAACTCTGATTTCAAAATCAGTATTTCTCATATGTTGACGAAACTGGCAATTTCCAAATCCATCTTGGAAACAGACTGGTGCTCGGTGCATCTGATCAAACCAGTAGCAATATAATGTCAAACACAAATGGGAAGCATTAAAAAAAAAAGCCTATAATGGCAACTCAGCAGCAATGGCACAAGTAGGAACTAAAATCTCTAGTTAAAGCCAATGAAGGCCTGCAGATTAATTCTGAATTTTACTCCTTATGTGATTTCAAATCAGAAACCCCCTGCTACTCAAATTCCAATAAATGTGCAATGGACATCTCTTTGTTTCTTTTGTCTTCTCAGGAACCACCTTTCCTCTAGTGTTCCCTACACCCTTCCTTTTTCTCGTAATTTCCCCTTCCTTTGGGGAAACTCCTCATCAGCTCAGGGATAGAATGTCATCTAATCTGGTTAAAATGAAAGTTCTTACCCCCAGTTTTACATAATTTGCTGCCAAGCTTTGTATGATGATGTAAGCTGAAACTGTCGACAGCTGTCATCTACTATCCTCACCTCACTGCCTCCCACTCCAAAGTGGGCATCCCCAAAGAGAAAGTTTGCCTGGCAGAGAAAACCAATCCATGGGAAAAAAAAGAAAAACAGGGTCAAGTGTGGGAGATGGAAAGACAGATGGCTTCTTTGTTGTTTGGACCCAGTCATGCCTGGACTTCCCAGCACAGGAGTCAATAAACTGCCTTTCATGCTGATACTAGTTTGGAGTTTTTGACACTTGCAGTTGAAGGATGATTGGTTAATAAAAGTATTCAATACCTACCTGAAAATAAACCTAACACATTTTAATACAGTAATTTATGACTAAATAAAAGCAGCTTAGGTTATCTTTACTTAAAATGTAATGCCTGATATGAAATCAGGTACAACACACTGCATATGCCAAACAAATTAAACAAAACATATAAAGTAAATTGTTGGCATTTTATGTTTAGCATTTCACTACACATCGTAAAACCTGAACCCTATCACTTGCTACAGTGAAACAAATTGGCTCAACTACACTTAGGAATATTATAGTAACTCTCTTTAATTCCTATTTATAATATGAACAGGTGCAAGTTTTGTTTACTGTAAATTTATGTCTATTAATCCCATATGTAATAATTAGCAATTATGAAAGGCCTACCTTCCCTTTGAAATCATTGTTTAAAAAATAAAGAAGGCCAGGTGGAGCCTTTCTCCTTTTAAAATATGGTTTGTGAATGAAATGCAGGATGTTGAACTTAACATGGGTCAGGGAGTTTGTTTATTCATCAGAATTTGTCAGGAATCCAAACTGGTGAAAACCTCTAAAAAAGAAATAGGGTTTTAATGCTACAAACCTAAAGGGCTCTCAGTGAATTATTTCAAGTTTACCCCATCCAAGCAGTTGACATAGTTATTCACTAAAACACATTTACTGTAAATTCTGTGGGAATAAATGTGCATATTAATCAAATGATATAGTTATATTAAGGGAACTCTGCTATATTCTTTCCTAAGGAATAGTCCATAATTTAAAGTCTAACAGAATTCTAGACAATAGATACGGTAAAGATGCGTTAGATCATGTGGGGTTTTCTGTTGTTCCCCCCCCCCCCCCCCCTTCCCGGGGAGGGAAAGTACAGGATAAATCCTTTGGTTTTTGTCCAATTTTTCAACTTAAATTTTTGACAGGATGGAACTCAACACTTTTCTTGGAAATGAGACTACATCATAACAGATTTCACTGTCAGGAAATTCCTCTCCACCCTGATACTCAGATCACGTGTTCTTTTTGTGTACTTTATCCCACTTTTCCCAATAACAATTCTGTGACACGTTTGATTCAATTCATTCTCTTTCTTGCCTGTCTCAAGAAGTTGAATCTCACTGTTAAGAGTGTGAAATCCCATTTAGTTGTCAATTCAGTAATTATTGTGAAAAACATAATTCTACGCAAAGTTTTAACTATATATGAGGAGAAGATCCCTGAAGCTGCTTTAGGAAGTATATGTATTTTTCAAATGCTTAACCCTTACTGTCTATGAATCACATTTCTACCACTACTCTATATCAGAGGTCTTTGGGCTATTACTGTCTTTAGATGCTCTTCTCCAATTTCTACCCCAAATTACATATATTTGTATTCTGCAAGTTTCTTCTGTGCTTATAATGTTTTCATTACCTTTTCATATTTCTAATCTTTCCAAGTCTCTTTTAATGAATACCTCTGGCTTCTTTTTGGTCTAAAACTTATCCTAATTGTAAACTAAAAATGAATTTCACTGATATTCAATTTTATCACTTGTTTTCTTAACCATTAAATACACAGATGCAATACAGATGTAATAATCTTTATAGTCATATTGCAATTTCATAACTATAAATTCCAGTAAAACTAGGAAACTTTAATTTTGATAAGTGAGATCATAATGTATACAGAGCTGCCACACAGTATAAATTAAATCATGTATATACATAAATACACATACGCATTCCAAAAGCACTTTGAAGAGTTCCAAGTGTTTCTTCTTTAGCTATTGCTAGATGTTTCCAAACACAGCATAAAACTGCTCATCACAACACCCCATGTGGTAATGTCAAGAGGAGAGTTGGAATGGGGTGAAAGGCACAGAATTCACAGCAAGACACAGCTCACTGTGTGAACAAGGAAAGCCAGATTTGTGAGCACTGATGGTTTAAACAACAATGTGGAGCCACCGATTTTCTGAACTGACTGTAAGAAATAGCAGTTGCTAGTACTTATACAACCTTTTACATAGGACATCATACCAGGTGCCACCCAAGTATAAAAGATCCATTCAGTTGTCTGAAGAGGTGAAGTTACAT